GCTTGGATGAACAAAACTGGATAGGGTCAAATCCATTCAAATCCATACGGGTGCTGTATGGAGAAACAGTGCCTTTCTTAACTGTCTAGGCACTTTGAAAAGGATAATAAAAAAAATTAAGGATACAAAGTGGACAGTGAACATAATTTACTCTGATTTCAAAAAGCTTTAGTTGAATGCCCTCCACAAGAGGCTACTACTGAAAATAAATAACCAATGGTAAAGGGCAAACTATTGTCCAGGCTCGATAATCAGAGAAAGCATCAAGCAACAACAATAAATACCTACTCTTCAAGGCAGACAAAGATAACAGAAGTGCATCTGAAATTCACGACTGCAACTTGTGCTGCTCCATATGTTCTCAGACTCAGCTTGTGCTTTTGGTGTTTAATTCAGGGCAATTAGACACACTTGACTTTCAGAAGTGATGGACTTCTTGCTTCATAAACTCAAGCCCCTTTAGGCCTTGTTACCTCGGAGGTGACATTGCTTCACCTTTAGGTCTTCCTGCAAAGATTTATGTGTATGACTATCTTTAAACATCTGTATAATCTTATTAAGATCATTGGGGCTACGAAGGTGCTTCAAGTCATGAAATTAAATCTTTATAGGATTTCAGTTAGAGATTTTTGGAGGGTGGCATACAGGAAGTTCTGAAAGTGGATGGTGGCAAAGGATTCGGAGTTAGCAGTTCAGAGAAACTGATAATTCCAGATCCATCATGTCAGAAAAATAAATTTAAACTGCAGAAAATGAATTGATAAATAGGCATACTAAAAATTCCTGATGAAATCTTGCAGCGGGTAATACAGGATAGTCCAACAGTTTTCATGCACAAATTTAGAAAATGAAAAGTGATTATATTTTGAGTTTTTACTTTCAAGTTTTAGACTCTTCTTTTGATGATTACCCTAAATAAAATTTAAATAAGGCAAAAAGGAAAAAGTAAAATCTGAAATTCTCAAATTTCTATCTTCCCTTTCTCCCATTTTTTCCTATTTTTAGGAAAAAGAACACATGTAGATACTATGTAGTCAAAGAACACAGATAAAACTTATTTTTCCCTGTCTGTATACCAACTTTTCTCTTTTAGAAAGAAAGACCTGAAAAGTAATTTTTTCAAATAAAAAGTTCCAGTGGGACAATAACACTCATTTTAGGTTGTTAACACTAAAAATGAAATGTTTTACTTTTAAAATAAAAAGAGGCACTTCTACTTTTCTACATGCTCAGACTTTCTTAAGTGCTTTTCAATATAGGAAAACACTGACATAGGAAGAAAGTGTGGGAAACATAATTTTCCCATATTTTTGAAACTTCCTTCAAAAACTGGAATTTCCCAATGGAATAGTTAGGCTGCCTCTAGTAATTAACTTTGTAGAAGAAAACCAGCTTAGGAGATTTAACTTCTGGGAAAACCACGCCAAGACACAGGATTAGTTTGGCAAAGAGACAATAGAGTCTCTGTGATTAAGATCAGGAAAAAGAAAGGCCAGTGAGTGTTGTAAATAATGAGGATGACTGGGTATTAAAAAAAAAAAAAAGGACATCTAGGCTATCAAAAGGTGAATTTAGAGTGTGCCATAATCTGGACTACTCCATAACTCACCATCAGGTTTCAGACTACACATCATTGACTGAAAAAATATAGATGACAATGTTGGAAGTTACTGGTAATGGAGAGGATGAGACTGCTGAAGTTAGGATTACTTCAGTTAACACAGGATTTAAATAAATTTCTTATTGCTTAATTCACCAAAGAAGAAATGTTCCAAAGGAACTTGTCAGAACTGAAAAGAAGAAAACAAAAGCAAAGAAAGCATGGCAGGGGCAACCATAAGCCAGACACCATCTTCCATACCATTTGATGACTGACCTAGTCCCATATGATTACCTGGATAATATTACACTTACTCAAGTTGGAGTGGGTCTAAGATGATTGCCACAGAATACTCAGTAGATAAAGAATAGGATGGTTATATGGAATTAAAGGAGAAATGTTTCTTCATACAGTTTGAAGTGTACCTGCAGAATTCACTGCTTTAGGGGAACATAGAGTCAAATGTGGTGGCTGGATTAGAGAATGAAAGAAGGAATATTTTATTACCACTAACAAATTGTGTCATCCAGTATGATTTAAAAAAAAAAAAAAAGATAATGAAATCTCATGGTTCAGTAGGAAAGTTCCCTGTGGGACTTTGAGAATTATTCCTCTGCCAAGCTCTCTTATGCTATTGCTTAGATACATCATATGTCTCCTTCCAACATGTCTTCTGAAACATTAGTTCCTAGACCCAAGTAAAGACAGGTTATTAGTACTATTTAACGTATTTGCTGTACTGTGAAGGTTCATGGAACTGGAAAAAACAGAAAGTTCCTGATTCCTCTTCCCTCTGAAATAGTAAAGAGCTGAGCTACTGATTTGTGCCTTGGACTCAAAACTAAGCAGATTTATTGGACATCATTTAAAGATGAGGGCAGGAATTATAAAATTTAACTAATCCCTTGTTGGGGTATTATACAATCATGAATGCAAAAGTAAGCATGACTGCATGAATCATATCAGCTTCAAAGGGTTCTCTGAAGACTCATACTGGATTTGATAGAAAGAACTGCAGCCCATGGCTGACAGCGTGCGATTCTCAAAGCTGCCATGTATGCCTTTCACTTTACTTACAACAGAAGAAATGCTCCATATGCAGAACATTGCAGAGGACCTATCCTCATGAAACTTTATGAGGAATAAGAGTTTGGTAATGGGAAAAAGCATTCCCTGAGAACAGAAAATGGACAGCTGTGGCAAGCAGCTTCCTAAATTCTGAAAGGAATGACTGTTTTAAAGAGTTCATAGAGGGACTCTTTTTCTATAAGCCTTCATTCATTTGCATAGACTTAATTTTACAAAAAAAAACCCCAGTTGCATGTATGTATAGGGATTTGTATCAGATGCTTTTCATTTGTTAAAGCCACCTATAGAACTTCACAAGTATATGTATAGCATCTACTGTACAAAACCCCAAGGGTCAGCACTAATAATTCTAAATATTTGAAAGCATTGTGCTGCTGTTTTATCAATATTATTTTAGGGGTATGTTCTTGGTGGGGGTGCAAAGAACTCAACTAAAAAATCTAATAAGAACTTAAATAAAAATCTAATATGAAGAGCTGTTAAAGAAACTAGAGGCTAAACCTATTTCAGGACTTGCCTTGTGGGAATGAGTAGATAGAAATAACACTGAGAGTTCCAAATTTTGAGTGCCTGAAATTTATGGGATGTAGAAATGTGATATCCTTGTGTTCCTGTGTTACAAATAATATGTTACATTTCGTGAAGGTGCATACAGCTCATGAGAGCTATAGTCGTTAATATTTTATCTGCTCCGTTACATGTAGGTATGAGGAAGACAACCATTGTCCCATGATGTTCAGAACCTGCTGTTAAGTGTGAGTCCTAGTTTTACTAGGGACCTCTATGAATGGAGGTCCTAAAATGTATTATTTTATTCTATAATTTAAAAGCAATATATTGCATGGAGAAACAGGAAAAAAATGGTTGCTGTTTATGGAAGTGACTGTATTTTAAGTCGTTTTCATAGACTTAATAAGAAGGTGTGGTACGACCGAGTTGTAAAACTGTAAAATTAACATCTATTTTTATTATTGCTAATCCACGATTTCTGTTTAAATTTGGTTGTTGTGTCCCCCCCCATATTTTCTTCACCCTGTTGTTCACTCCAACTAGATAATTCTTCGCTCATGTATAATTACTGCTCAGGGAAATTCCTGTTAGTCTCCAAAAGGAGGTTTGCTGGAGTCAGGCATGCAGCACTTGACTCAGAGTGTGCATGAGTATCTTTCTTTATTACTCTGTTCTGCTTTATTCTTTCCACAGCAAATAAGTAGGATTAAGGGAGCATATCTTGAATGATTGACGATAATTCTGAGCACTGCAACTAAATCTTTTGACTGCCTGGCTTAGAAATACTTATTATCCCCATCAGCTTCCCTCATACCAATACTCCCACGCTTATTTCCATCTAACACACTGAGATAGCCTAAAATAGTCAAAGGCCAGCTTAAAACAAAACAAAACAACAACAACAACAACAACAACAAAGTAAAAAGAAAGGAACAATTAGATCAAACTTAATTTGGGAATAGTTCTGGAAATTATTAGGAAACATGGAGGGAAGACACACACACACACAACTCATTTTGTCAGCATTAGGGATCCTTTATCCATTCTCTACTCTGCTATAACAGGTTCTTTGTGTTTTGCACATACTGGTATTATCATACCTATTCTTATTCCATCCCAATTCATTCCTCCATAGTATGTTCACATTAGGAACTAGAATACATGATCACACTATTTTATTTATCTTTGTCATGGGATAGTTACATCATAGATAGATAGAAACACAGAAAAATCACAGTCTTTTTTAGGTAAAATCAGATATTTGCAAAACAGCACCTGAGTTCAGTGTGGTTAGATGTAAAACTTAAAAGATAATGAAAAAGTTTGCAATTTTACCCACAGAGGCATAATGTAATTATGCTCCATGTCTGTTTGGAAAATTTGGTTTCTTCTCCGAATATGGGAAGAAAATGGTCAATTAGATACATCTATGGTTTTGGATCCATTATAGGATCACTCCTCTGTTAGAAGAAAACAATGGACATCAGAATTCCTTTGGCATAGGCCAGGCTACTATTCTGGACACTACTAAACTGCATCTTTCAATCTCTGACCAAACAAGGATTTAGATTAATTTTTTTTAGACTGAAAGGGGATCTCCAACAACTCCTTTTAATTCCTTTCCCAGTAATTCCTATACTTTTGAGAGGTTTTGTGAACAACAAAAAGATGTTGTTTTGGAAAATTCAGAAAGAAAAAAAAGCATGATCTCATTTGTGTTTTTTTCCATGGGAGTTGATAAGGCTGTGAAATTTCAGATCATTGTTTAAAGTTTACTATGTGCGTCACTATAGATACTAACCTTCTTATGCTTCCAAATGTCTGTGCGTGACCTAAAAATCTTCCAAAATCTATGTGGAACATGCGTCCAGCATTTGTCAGCATTATGTTGTCACTGTGTCGATCACAGACTCCCAGAATGAAGGTAACAACACACCAACCAGCGCAGGAATAAAAGAAATTCCTTACTGCCTAGTTAGTAAAACAAAAGCATTTACTAGAAATATACAGGCATATTTGTTTGTGATGCTAACAATAAAAGCAAAAATTGGAGTTCTACAAATGCTACGCATGTTGCTAAAATTTTAACAGACAGGTGTTTGTAGGAACGGTACTCAAGTAATACACAAACTTCAAAATTACGATGCAAGAACAATTTTGTGCATGAGGTTTTCACCTTGTGTTTTACAGATACTTGGAATTCTATGGAAAACTTCTAAGGTGAAACGTACCTAGGGAAAGCAAGCTTCTTGGCATGAAGCTGACATTTTCTGTTCAATAGCCTGCAGGTATATTGTAAAAACAATTGTTTGCAAATTAGTTGTAAATCCACAAATTTAACCATTTACTTTGTAAAGAAAGTATGTTATTTTTCACCCACTGTACTGTTCTGTACCTACACAGGTCTTTTTTCTCCAGAACTCAGTTGCTTTTCTCAAATCCTAATAAAACAAGTCTTGCAATATTCCAACCCAAAGAATTAAACCCTATTTTACAGAAATGAACTGAAACAAAGAAAGGCTAAATTGTTTTCTGCTCATAGCATCTGCGAATCTGAATAGACTACGGGATCAAACCTAGCATTGTGCAGAGAGACCCAAGAGAGTGATTAAATGAAAAACAAGTCTAGCAGTCATGTTTAATATAACCTCCTCCTCTGATGCTCTTCCACGTGGTCAAGATGTTTACTTTCATGGTCAGTCTGCTTCGTGTAAGTAGACTGGCTCATTCAGATCTATCTCATGAATCTCTTTACAATATTACATTGTGGCATCACTCTTAGCCAAAAATGTGCCCATGGCAGACGTAGCAAAATGTACAAGCTAATGACCTGCTCACCAGGCACTCACAGGTGGATTCCAAGTTTTCTGCTAACTTCAGTGGGGAGTATTTAACAACTAAGACTTATCCTAGTATAAGAATCTACCCAATCTCTTTAACAACACACATATTCAGTGTCCTCTTTGAAAGCAGGGTTATTCCTGATTCAGGCGATGATCACTCTTCTCCCCCAAAGCATAAGGAATAGCTTTTGTCTTTTTTTAATCTTACCTACTACAGTTTAAGAATTGAAAATGCAGTTCTTACTCAGAAGTTTTAATCTTTCATGAATCTAAATCACAAAGCAATTAATTTATATAGAAACCCAAGAAATCCGAACCTGTGACCTTTATGTTTTTGGACAAGACCTATATTAACCAAAGTAAATCATTATTTAGGCATTCAAGTTTTCCCTGTAGATGCAGGGTGCCACCTGCAATGGCTGATATGGATGACAGCACTGTGGAAGACTTGTGTGACAGCACAAGAGTTGGCTGAATTTTATGTCTAACTGTACTACTTACTCATTTTGATGACCTTGGATAAAACACCTAAGCTTTCTGTGATCTTGTTCACTCAACTGTAAAATGAGGATATTAAAGCTTATTCTGCATTAGCTTTTTGAGCACCTGACATACAGTATTGTATGAGTAAAAAATTATTAAGGAGTAAAGAAAGAGAAAAGTTCATTCACCATTGAGTACAAAGTGAATGCATAGTAGTAATTTTATGCATGCCCTATGCAATCGGATCTGACTGCATTTTATATGTTTAAAAAATTGAAAGAAAATGGGTAGAAATTGGGTTTAGAATATTCCACATTAATGGTACTTTTAACAAACTGCAGCAGCAGCAAGGAAACAGGTTTTCAATCAATAACTAATAGTATCTCACTTTTCAATCGAAATGTTGGCTGCACTTCTACCATAATACTGTAAACATACAAACTTGCAAAAAAACCCCCCCAAAACCACCTATACAGATTGTTCCTGTTTAATTGAATCAAGATGATATACTAGGAATTCAAGTGTTCTTACTGAAAATGTGGATGAACAAATGCCTATGGTATAATTACAAAATTACTAAAGTTTATCAAACATATTTATGCTATACATCTACTAATGAACTCTTATAAAACACTTCATTTTCAGAGTGGTAAACACTGAAAGCTCCCCTTTAAATTTAAAATTTTGGCTACTAATCTACTGTGGGCACAGAGTAGGGTTCTAAAAATTGTCCCAGCAACACAAACTTTAAAAAGTTTTTCATGGGCCTCAGAACATACTCAGCCAACAAAGAATTAATAGAAAGAGTTCCTTGGGAAACTTCTGCTTCTATAAACAAAATTTCCAATTTTTTGGCTCATGCATAATGTCTAGTTTCATAAAATCAGATGCATTACGTGGGATCACACAACGTGATATGAAAAGCATGATCTTATGTATCATATGACTAGGTAGTTTTGCTAAAACAGCTTTCTAAAACTATGGGTATTGACATGGTCATTTCCAAATGCAGGAAATCCACCGAGACTTTGTATGGTTTATATAAAATAAAGTATTTAGAGAGCTGACTTAAAAAAAAAATCTTTTTGAGTTCAATACTTAATTTCTACTTCAGCTTCTCTTCACTTTGCTACTACATTTCAAAACATCTCTATGACACATCTTCATAGAAAATGTATTACAATGCACCTGCTCCAAAGCAGTATCTCCTTAGAAAGAGACTGGCATTTAAGTCAATTCCCTGGCTTCTATGCATGTGACTTGTTTGTCTTGTGTCTGAGTCATTTGTTTTTGATGCTTACTGCCATTTGGTTTCTTTTTTCCCATGGTAAAACATGAAATGTATAATAAGCTTCATTATGATGTTACCTCTTGGTAACTTGATTCCAGAGGATGGTGATGACGGAACCATTTTTTAATTGTGTTTTCTTTCAATGGTCCTATCAGTCCAGACTCCCTGTGGATCTTCGCTAGTGTGATAGCATCTGGCACCATCTGTACCAATCCTAATCAGATAGAAAAGAGTTCACATGAAAAACCTTCAACTTTAGAAAGATACAAAGATCATCAATGCATATTGCCTGTTGTTGGATCATTCCATACAGAAAAAAAGTATGCTTAAAAGCTTATGAAATAATGAATGCAATAGAAAATATAGATCAGGATTTTTTTTTTTTTCTTTCTCTTTGGAAACAAAAAACAGAGGACATTTTGTAAAAAGTGGCAGTTCTGTGAATGAGAAATAAAAACACCAATAACAATATTGTGGACATAACTGCCTCAAGGTACCAACAAGGCCAACCATTTAACGAGATTCAAAGTGGGTAGAATATGTACAAAACCAACAAAAATCTGTAAAAAATAGGATCAGATATTTACTATGAAACATTGAGTTATTTCATATGTGTTTATTCTCTAGAATGCTACACAAATTTTTCCGCAGTATGTGATGCTGATCACAGCTGGGAGAAAGGATACTAGATAGTACAGAAATTAGTCTGATCCAATATGACATAAATTGGGACTTTGAAGAGCAGAGAGAAGCCAACCATTTTGCAATGCTTCACTTGACTCCTCTGTCTCAACTGCATGCATTTAATTCCTTTTTTTGGAACCGAGACCAGGCTTGCCAGCCTTCTGTCCCTGTCCCCATGTGTGGTCCCCTGGCACGTCGTCCTGTAACTCTGCATTAGAGGAAGGACTTCCTCTAACGATTTCATTTGGTGACGGGCTCCTCTACTATACCATGCCTGGAAAGTGGCATTCTACCAGTGCTTTATCTGCTTTTCTCATTTCTGAGAAAAGTGATTTCCGTGTTCCCAGGACTATGAAATTATCACCTCTCTTATCTCCCTTGTGTGGAAAAAGTGGCCCACGGAGCAAGTCATTAGCCTAGGATTAGAAGACCTGGGTACACAAGTCTATTTAAGCACATGTCCTGTACAACCGCAGGCATGTCACTTGGTCCTCTTATCCTTAATCATTAACTGTAAATCAATTATATTAACACTTCTGTAGTTCATAAGGAAAGACCTTGTGAGCAAAATCTGTCAGAGAGAGGTTTTCTGCTGCTGTAGTACTGAAAGGAAGAGACTGTCAGGCAGAGAATATTATTTGCAGATGATCCTTTTATCTTTCTTGGCAAAAAGCAAATTAAGTGTTAGTATATAAGAGTGACTAGAACATTATGTTCAGAAATAGTATTCTTGCATTATTTGCCTTTGAAGCAGAAGCCTTCAAGCTTTGACTCCCATCTCTACAAAGAAGGGAGGAGTCTTTTTTCAGGTCACCTTAACCACCCACCATATGTGTGAACTCACCTATACTTTCTCCTAGTTCCTTCAGATCATTCATCCTCCCTCATTTTCTCTTTGTGGCTCAGAAAGCAATGATTTTTAAAAATTTTTTATTTTAATATTTTTGGCACAACAGGTAATCTTGATACACCAGTCTTCTATTTGTGCAAGGATTATTTTCAGTAAAAGGTTTGGAGAGTCAGTAAAAACTAGTAAGCTTATTGCTGTCAGTAAATTTCTTTAGCAACCAATTGGTATCCCTGCTACAGCTCTGCTATAACAACCATAAAAGAGAGAAATAAAGCTTTCAGATGAGTCAGGCCTGCCCTAAGCAGCATAAATCGCAAAAATAATATTTCAAAATCAACAATGCAAAGCTGTCATCACCTGTCTACAGGTACTTTCTATAGCCACATGCATCTAGGTTCCTTTAAGCATCTATGCAGGATCACACTGGATTAAAACTTTAGTAGCTATGGTCCATTTTCTCAAAGCCCTCTTTTTGATGTGTGAAGTTACATTTAAGAATTTGGTGCAAGCTGATGGTGTTAAGGCTTTTGGAAAATTCTAGTCTAAATTGCTACAAAATTCAATGAGTTTGGTTATATTTCTCCCAGAGAGGCAGAATGAATAAATAAAATGAACATTCAGAAGCAGGCAAGTATACAATTCAGGGCTCAAGTAACTGAAATTCTGAGCATTTCTTTTTTCTTTAAGGGGGAAGATAAATAAGACATCCATGAAAATAAAAGTTAAAGAGAGGATTTTTGTATACTGCTGTTTACATGAAATATGAATAATGTAATATAGCTAACTTTTATAATCTAAAACTGACCTTGGCCTTTTCCTGTAGATAAACACCTATAAATTATCATTTGCATATCCATTCCCTCTTGGAGCCAAATACTGTCCATCACTCGAATAATTTGCAGAACCAGCATATCTTGACGTAGATCATCGCCTATCTGTGAAAATTGCACAAGAAATTCAGGTTTGTCCTTCAATACCAGACAGAAATAACTTCCTGTTTCATTTGGGCTTTTCCCCAACCACAATAGCTACATTCATTTTACAGTAAATCCCTCTTTTTTTTCTTCAAAGTTGCTACTTATCTTTCTGTGTCGGAAGAGGACAGAGTAGATGGCGCACACAGACAGAAACAGTTTTGGCAGCCAGTGAGATGGTAACAAATGCTCCCTGATTAACTGCAGCCTTTCTGCTTATTATTCCTATGTAATTATTAGAGTTTGAAAATTTAATCCGGAGGTAGGATCCTAATATAGTTACATTTTAAAGTCTACCTAATGCTATATACCTTTTCACAAATGACAGTGTTTGTCTAATGTTAAGCTTCACAACTTGGTATTTGCAGCAAGCTGAAGGGGAATTTTATCATGAATTTATATTTTACCCATGACATGATTCATATTCAGTTTCAAACAGTGATGCAGTGTTGACTGCTCTCCCCATGGAGTCGGTCAAACAATAATCTTAGTGAAATGGGGCTTTAATTGTAGCCACAAGAAGTAATGAAAAGATTATTTTCAACCATGGCTGAGTAAATGGCCTGTGAAAACAAAAGCCCTGCTTTTTTTTGTTTCTCCCCTACCCACCCCATCTAAAATACATGTGACTTTTACTGGTATTTTTAAGTGCTTTATTCTTTTATTACGTTCTTTTTATATAAGCGTTCCAATCTACAGACATTTACGGCCATGAAATGAGTACTTGAAGAGACATAAACTCATCTTTAAAAAAAAAAATCCAAATCTATTTTTCTTTCATTTAAAGGTAATCTTGATTTCAATTAATTCTTAGTACCTAAACCTGCAAAAAATCTTATTCCCTCCACTTACCTTCCCTCCTTCCCTCACATAAACAGTCAGTAGACAATTTAGCATGATATCAGTGCTTATCATTTTATGTATGCATTGTCCATCATGAATAAACAATAGAACTACGGTACAAGTAAAAGATACTTTAACACAACAGTCTGCTGACAGGAGAAGGTGATGCCAGCTGTAATACTTCTACAGCAACTGAACAGTTGGTTGTTGGTTGTACATTACTGGGCAGGGAAAACACTGTCTAGGTAGAACCAGCATAAATGTTTAAATGCCTTATGAGCAGCCATTTGCTCAAGTTGCTCATGTAAGTAGGAACCTGCCTATTTAACATTGATTCTCAGATGAAATAACGTAAGAACTGGTTTTCTGAATGTTCAGAAAAACATAACATTGCTAGCCTCCTCCTAACGAGCCTGGAAAGCATACTTCTATTCCCAAGAATCACAGGTGCTCTAAAGGTCAATTGAATTCAAGACAGCCTAAAAATCTTTTTTTTTTTTTTTTTTTTTTTAAATCAATTTTTTAAACTTCTGGTTTGGAAAATGATACTGCAAAAGATCTAGGAATAATGTCTTCGCAACACTGACCATTTTGTATACATCAGCCATTTTATGAACTTCAGTGTTCTTCTCCAAAACCAGTACCTACTTTATGCAAGACTTTTGCTCTCTTGAAAGAGAAGTAACTTTTGTGGATGGACACAGCACTGTCCTGAACTCTGAAGCTTTTCTAGGTCACAACTGGAAAATAAACCGGAGTTTATTTTCAGAGTCAGTTCCTCCAAGTAACTCCAATGAGACAGAGCTCCTCTACTGTCCCCTCCACCTCCCTCTTCCTCAGCCCATTCCCCTCCACTGGCTGACAGGGGCAGAATTAGTTCTGTGTAGCAAACGCAGTCTCTAACGCTCCAGTATTTTGATTTGTTAGAGACATATGGACAACGCTAATGGATTCCATCATTCTGAACTATCTCTTCTCTGAGACTTACCCTCTGACTTCAGTGTGGTAAATAAACTAGATTTAAAACATAAAATAATATTTTAGCCTGGTTGTCTCCACTGAGAAAAAAAAAATGCAAGAAGTCATTTGATTCTCTACCAATCAAAAAGTTGATACTTCAGTGCATTGCCTCGACATATCCCATTAAAAGTTCTAGTGTCAAAAAATAATTGGGAAAAGTGAACAGCAGAGCCAAATCAAACATGCTCACGCTCAAGGTTTAAAACATAAATTAGTTGAATTTCAAATCAACATTTTCCATACAAAAGGAACTGAGGATTAGAGGAAGAACATACCTTAAAAATAACATTGATGTTTCCACCAGGACCATTTGCATTGATGAAGGAGATTTTTAATGGAAAAGCATTGGACGTAAAATATGAACATGACTTCAGGGAAAAAAAGATGAGAGAGAAGAACAACAGTGTCACATATATAAACCATCAGGCTAATACAATCCCTCTGAAAAAGTACCATCTTTAAATACTGCTCTGTAGCACTGATAAAAAAATAAATAATTCTTGATATTATTGACTGTTTAATTGGGTCAGGAAAATGAGAAATTCTTTTTCCCCAGAGAGTTTGTTTCACTCAATAATCAGATTATATGAATGGATAATACTTTCCGTACTAATTGTTTTTCATTTTCACCCAGGCCTATTAACGATGAACTTTGGCTGGGATGAGTGGATGAAGTACATAAGACTGATCTAATGAGAATCTGTAAAGCACTGAAAAGCCTTTGGTCCTGTTATTTTCTGGAAAAAAAAAAAAAAGCCTAATCATACAATCTTTATGGAAGCAAAGAACCTAATAATTTCTTTGGTGATTTCACTGTGGCTGAGGATACAGGAAATTCTGAAAATCATAATCTATTTTATGTGGAATTTATCTTAATTAAATGTAAACTCTGACTTCTCATGCCCTACAGCTCCTTCCACCTGAAGACCTCAAAGGGCTTCAAAAAGCATTAATGAGCCAAGGACTGCAAATCCTGTGTGAGTTAGGGTGGTATTATTACCATCATTAAAAAAAAGGGGGGGGGGAACCCACTGAAAAAAACAACCAAAGACAATGGTAAGTTAATGGCCTGGTTTCTAGAAATAACGAGAACCCCACAGGAGCTACTGCTGTCGTTACCGGGTGAAGTGCAATGGAGGCTAATTTGAACAAAACCACTACTAGACACAGCTCTCTCTTGCTTTTCATCTAAACATCTCAAAGCATGGTACAAGCATACAAATATTGCCTTAGCCACATCGTACCTCTGCGATATGCAATAGTTATTATTGATGATGAAATCCTGACCCCCTATGGAATTTTGCCAATTGAAATGTCTCAGTAAGTGCTTGAAAGGTTGCTGTGAGATAATGCATTACTGACAGAGCTGGAAGCAGCGCTTGCTACGAGTAAAATCAATAGATGACACCAAAATGAATTAAATTTAGGTAATTATAAGCACTTAAAAATTCTAATTTGCATGATTATACTGACATACAGTTCAATCAAGAAGCTGCATATATTTATAGCAAGATAATGGCCTATAATGATACAAGAAAAATGAAAAAAAAAAAAAAAAAATCTCTCTTCAGATACTTATATTTAAACATTTTGTATCCGTCCAGCCAAGTTGGTGCAGTATAAATAGCACGACATGGTGAGATACCTTCCCATTAGTCATTATTTCCAAAAAGCCTGAAAGCAGTGAGAAGCAGCAGGCTTCAAATTCTTCTGACTTATATCATACACAATTGGCCCAAGCCTGCAGGGTGCTGGAAGACCTCTGTTCTCAGCAAGATCAAGGCTGAATAGCAATTATTTGGAGAATCACAGGTCAAAGGCAACTGAAGGGATCAGCACCTCTTAGAATCAGGTCCACTGTGGATAATGAGCCAGAGAACAAAAATAGAGCACAAATTGCTGTAATTAGGTAGCTGTAACTGGTAATATACATAGGTGTTCAGGTTTGTTTTTTCTTGCTGCTGAATACCTTTTCCTTCTCCGGAGATGGGACAGCTTATTCCTGGCATAATATTGTTTATGAAAACATTTCTAAACAATGAATAACTGAGTCTTAGAACCGTGGTCAAAGTCAAGTCAAGTAACACTAAAGAGCATTGTTGTTTCATTTATTTTTAAGTCATTTTTAATAGGTTCATGGACACAGGTATGTTACTGTGAATATTTAATATACTAGCAATTCTCAGTCATGTGCCTAGTGTCACCTCAGCAAAAAGAGAATTAGTCCTAGACCTTTGGCTGCTCCCATACGTGACGGGGGAGAGTCTTAGATGAAAACCAAACCTGCCACCAAAAGCTACCTGGGCAGGATGGTAACAAGGTCTCAGCTTCAGGGAAGCCAGGTGCCCTTGCCGATCCCAAGGCCACGGCAGGGCATCCGAGCTGGGAGCAGGCTGCTGGGAGTTTGACACCTCTGCTGTCGCAGCTGCGGAAGGCGAGACATGCACGAAACGCCCACCCCACCAGTCCCCTTCACCTCTGCCTCCAACAAAGGCCCCTAGTTCAAAGGGGATTAGGCTAGATGTCAGTTTACCAGATGACTCATGCTTAATACCAGTAAGATTATTTCCCAGTCAATGCAGACATTCACTCCGTCTCCCCCTTTATACTAATAAAAACACCAAATAAAATTAAATACGTAATCCATTGCATGAACTAGACTTACGTCTGCCTCTATGCCTTGGACCACAAGCGCAGGATTCAGGGGAAGCCGGCAAACCTTTACCTCCTGGAAGAACTGCTGAAGTCTGTTGAGTTCCCCCTTTAACACCTCCTGCAACATGTGAATCATTATGGCAACATGAAAGAACATAACAGCAGCTTTTAAGCCGTTGACTGTCTTTCTATATTTTAAACAAGCAGTACAATTTCTGGAGCGAGTAGCATCCATGTAACCTTGTAACAGCTAATGAGGTCACACTGAGGTGCAGTTATTAAAAATAAGAACTGTAATTTTACTGTACATTCATGCTTTTTCTGCCTAGATGCACTACCAGTTCATGCTGTCACATAGGTTCAGATTCAGTACCCTTCATTAGAGGCTGATTAGCCTTGCACCTGCTCTGCTGCGTCTCGTGTCTTTTTTGCCTTGCTGGACAACTTCACAATTCGTAGCTTGTTGCCTCAACACTGGGATCTCCCTTGCCTAACTATAGGTGTGTTAACTGCAAGGTTTGGGAGTTTCTCAGTATTGCAGTAACTGCAGCCTTCAGATTAATCTCTAAAATCTGAATTATGCATCAATAATGTATAATGTATCACTACTATTTCTTTTTCTTTACATGGATTTTTCTCTTTGCAAATATTTTTGTCTTTTTACTCCCGTGTTTGCTTTGCTGCTCTTGGTAGCAACACTGAGCGTTTTCTGAAAAATCATTTGAGAATCTTTGAAATCTTAATAAGGCAAAAAGAATTCATGTTAACCAGCAGTGGCAGGTATATTTTTATTTGGCTTTCTGGTCTGTCTTACTGAGAACTCAGCAAGAAGCAGATTTACACATCAGGTAAGTAGCAACAGCTGTCTTGGAAAATTAACAGTTTTGAATTGGAAATGTACCTATGCAATATAAAAGCTGCACCTGCTGGAGAAGATGACAGCAAGTCTTCTACTGCCAGGAACACATCTCTGCAGATATGAGTACAGTATTAATTGCTGAATGCTGTATTTGAGATATTAAGTACAGTCCACTCTGGTTGGCTTTGCTAAGAAATTAGCACGTTCAGCCTGTCAAGGACAGCTCTTAGCAAAATTTTAAAGAAATACTGCAGCTCTACAGGAGTCAAATGTTTTTGGTTGAGGCACTGAATGTGAGTGTTCTTTTCAGTAAAATGTTAATCAGCTTTGTTACCATTATTTCTAACTGCCTCCAAGTCTGGTCGAGAAGCCATTGATGAAGGAATTTAAATGGCTTAAAAGATCTGCTGACCTCAAGAATAATAGTGAGGAGAGTCGTCCCATTAAATACATATGTTTTACTTGTTTTCAGAGCAGCACAAAATTTTACAAATTTTAGTCAAATCTTGGGTTTATTTATGCAAAGGGCATTATAGGAAAGAAGTGTCACTTTAGAAAAAATAAAATTACCTGAAGAAACTTAGATGGAAAGGGAGGTAATTTTTAACAAACCTTTCTTTTTGGGTCACTGGCAGCTTTTACTTTCTTGGCCATGTCTTCCAGAATTCTGATAAGTTTCCCTTCCTTAGAAAACTCATTGTTCAGGGTTTTTCCAGCACAGAATTGGAGAGCAGCCAGTAGTTTCTGATACCAGATTCTGAAATGAACTTCATTCTGTGCATTCTTCAACAGCCTGAAGGAAGGAAGGGGAAAAAAAATCTGTGTATCTAAAAACTGATTTTTATTTTACATCACCTCTAGCAGGAACAATAAATGGACTCCAGACTAATCTGTGTTTGGTGACTTTGGGCAGCAGAAAATGTGTCACATAGTTTAACCCCAGCCAGCAACTAAGCACCACGCAGCCGCTCATTCATTTCCCCTTCACGCAGTGGGAAGGGGGAGAGAATCAGAAGGGAAGAGGTAAAACTTGTGGGTTGAGATAAGAACAGTTTACTAGAACAGAAAGAAAGAAACTAATAACAACAACTATAATAAAATGACAGTAATAATAAAATAATTGGAATATACAAAACAAGTGATGCGCAATGCAATCGCTCACCACTCACTGACCAATGCCCAGTTAGTTCCCAAGCAGCGATCCCCCCAGGCCAACTCCCCCCAAGTTTATATACTGGGCATGACGTCATAGGTACGGAATATTCCTTTGGTCAGTTTAGGTCAGCTGCCCTGACTGTGTCCCCTCCCAACTTCTTGTGCCCCTCCAGCCTTCTTGCTGGCTGGGCATGAGAAGCTGAAAAATCCTTGACTTAGCCTAAACACTACTTAAAGACAACTGAAAACATCAGTGTGTTATCAATGTTATTCTCATACAGAATCCAAGACATAACACTATACCAGCTACTAGGAAGAAAATTAACTCTATCCCAGCCAAACCCAGGACAATTTGTTGGCAGTACTCAAGTCCCAATTGATAGCTAATGAGATTCCATGTTGAATCACTAGGAACCTGCCACTTCTTCTTGTCATACATAGTGCAGTGCCTGTATTGCTGCTTATTTTTGCAAGAAGTTTACAAATTGAAAGTTGTATTTTTTGAAGTCCAGTCTTAAATATATATCCTGAAATCTATTCTTTTTTTTCTCCTGCCAGTACACTTACACATCCAAGCACATCTTTCAGCTAGGAGGTACGTTTAGAGACCATTTAACCTCAGATGTATCATCAGTGCTAAAAACTTTCACTATTTTAAGTTGAGGAGACACTTCTGAAATTGGCTAAAAAGAGTGAAATGAGCCCGCTTTATTCCTTTCTTCACTGGTAAGTGTTGGTCTAGAGCAAAAACTCAGCTCTTAGTTCTACTGAAGTTTGTAAAAGCTTTGGAACTGGAGTTATTACCAACATAAAAGTCAGAAATAAACCCAGAAACACACTACTTTTTTTTTTTTTCATGTTCACCATGCACTCTTCTCTAATTACACATTTATTTGGGCCAGGAAAGTTGTGGAGTTCAGTGGGCTTTTTTAGTTAATGGCATTAATCACTGGGAAATTTTTTCCTTATGTGGGCCAGAGGTTTTGTACACATTTGATTTATTTTTATTAGTGTAGGTGGAATCACCAGCTTTATATTACTACTAACACCCTACCCATCGCCTGGGATTTCCCTTTGCCTGTAGGACTGATGAACTGTTGTTTGCTTTTGTCTGAACTTTCCTCCCTACGACTTTATCCTTAAGAACATCTCAAACCCTAAATTCCTTATAAATGTCTGAATCTTAATGCAGTTTCCCATATCTCATGAGGTTAGTCAAACCTAGCAAATAATGCTAGTTTTCACAGGACAGAAATCAGAGAAGCTGTTGACTTTCAAGGCACATCACATATGAATATGTCACATAAGAAAAAGCAAGAACAAGTTATATATCAAGCGCTGATATTTAAAAGTAAAAAAAATAATATCATAATTCCTATAGACGATTCAACTCCTTCAAAGCATATATAAAGCATTACAATATTGCTACCACAGCCCATGCATCTTTTGGTGATGAGGGATTCTTGTCATCTTTTATAAGGCAATGATCCTTCTAGGTCCTCTTTTCCTATGTAATTCAATGCAGAATAACGTCACCTACTGGTTTCTGAAAAGCCTTTCCAGTTACACAAAACCTCTGAACATCTAAGGGTTTATAAGTACTGAAAATCTTAAAAGAATGTGTGGTGTTTCTATCAGAAATGCCTAGACATGAAAGGGAAGAGATATGAGAAGTTTATCATCAGCACTCTCTGGAGCAGATTGAAATGACATTTCTTTCTGTAGACTAGTAAAAACAAATAATTACTTTTTGGATCAGAAAGAAATACATATTGTCATTGCAGTGCCTGGTGGAAGGCAAACCCCAGCACATAAATGCAACTGCATTCTTATCCTGAACCCTCCACAAACTGAAGAAGGCTGAGAGCACATGCATTTATGGTGGTGAATAAACTAATTCTTCCAGATTTCAAGCAGACTAAGTCCAAGATTCCACAGGATAGGATTCATTTGCTTAAATGTGCCATTTCAGATGTCCTAGGAAATCTTATTTGGCCTCCAGCTGCTGCCTTGGAAGGGCATGGGTCCACTAGAGGCAATACCTCGTGTGTGCCACTCCCATGCTGATGCCTCACATGCCCTGTGCTGTCTAAAATAGCCTATGTTTAGGGTACTGAATCACACTCTGCAGTGGCCTTTTTAAGATCAGTTGTAGGCAAACAAGGTGATTTAAAACAAAAACATACTCTGTCCACTTCAACAAAATCCAGGAACAGGGTTGGCGATTATTTTTTAAGCAAAAGCATTACTGGCACAATCCAAACTGTCACATGGGCAGGAATTTTAGTGTACTGAAGCAGAGCCCAGCTCAGTCCAGCTAAAGAGCTTACATTTCTCTTGGACCACAGTCAGAATAAACTTGTTCACTTCTGCCCTGCAAAGGCAAGGGCACCTAAGAAAAGACGACATCACTGTGATACCTATTTTGAACTGGCCAGGTTATGTTGGTGCAGAATCTTCTGTTTGCACTTAGGCTTGCATTGGCATCGGCTCCTGAGCATCTAAATCATATTTGTTCACCTACTCCTTTTTTAATGGTACATATTTAGGGAATCCAGAAAGGCTACCTTTTCATGAGATGTCCTTTTAATCCTCTCAGATACACAGAATATTAAAACAACTTTTATTTCCCTAAAATGAAAGGCTTAAGATTTCACATGAAGGAAGCAAAAGTGCAAAACCAAAATGTTTTCCTATTTTAAACAGAGCTACTCCCTGCATAAGGCAGATCAACTTAGAAGATCCATTTTTTGATTATTCTTATGGCCGAGTGTTCGTAGAAAATAAGCTTATATACATATACAATACAAAGATTTCTTTTCGACCTGAGAAAGATTATGGGCCAGATTCAGATAGCTTACGTCTATGTGAGGACAGAGGATGTATAGAGGCTGAAGCCTCTCACATGTGCTTCTTGAGCCCAGTCCATGGGGAAAGTTGAGGCAGTCATCATGATCTCACTGGTAAAATCCATTTCCATACCAGCCGCAGCACAGCACACACCGCACAGTCTGAACCCACATGGCAGCTTTTGACAGGGCACGTGCTACCCCAGCAGCCCCGTGAAGGACTCGGGGCTCTGCACTCAAAACACGTCTAGCAACTGCGGTACAGGCAGCGCAACTTCCTTCTGCCTGCCCACGGGGGTGGGTATGCTTTTAAAAGCCTGTAGACCTTAATTTGCAAAATAATTTGAATTAACTGGGTCTGACTTTTATATTCATTTTATAAAAGCAGTCCCAAGGAGGATAAAAAGGATAGCTTTTAATGTGATGACTCATTGTAGGCTTTGCTGAAATGTTTATTCAACAACTGAACAAATATGCTGTTGTAATTCTGTCTTCCCAGCTTCCTGGCACACACATCCTCAGTCTGCCATTGCGAGAACTCAGCAGAGATAGGAAAGCCTGCAACTTCTGAGGCTGCAGGATAGAGAAACGCTTAAGACACTAATGAAATTTTCAAGTTAGAACAGGATGCCTAGCTGTGACAGAGGAAGACAAAATTGGAATGATATAAAACTCAAGGCTGCCAGTAAGGGAGTATGTGAAGTTGTTTGGTTTTTGGTTTGGTTTTTTTTCCCCCTGACAATTTTCACAGGATTCTGCAAGACAGAACTCAATATAAAAGCCTGGCTTCATGCCAGGCCTAGAGAGAGAGGATCTTCTTCCTAACAACAGGGAGACTTCCTCTCTCTTCAAGCTTCTCTGATTTGGGACAAACACCCTCATTCTCAGCAAGGCCAGGGGAATTCAGACACTGTCCCAAGGTCACTTTTGTGAAATAGCACAACAGGACTGGAAACAGAAGGATGCTGACCTGAAATTTAGCAATGAAGCAAACTAGACTGCCTCTGCATAGCAGCAGTCAGAGGGTCAAAGTCAGATTCTGGAGTGCCCTGAAAGATGCCCCTGACTTCTGCAAGCAGCTGCTTCTCTTCCTTTCTGCATTCACCCACTCCATGCCTGCAAGGTGGCTCCAACCCCATGTTCTGGTACTTGCAGCTGCAGAAGTTTGTGTATCTCTTTTCCAGGTACACAAACACAAGTGTGCTGGAGAGATTTTTGCCATAGGGCAGAAGGGAAGGTGGGATTGAATCAGGCTGAGTTGGCTGCTCTGTCAGAGAAGGAGACACAGGGCTAAAACCAGCAGCTACGGCGAAAAAGGAAATCGGAAAAAAAAAGGGAGGGGGAAAATAAAAAAAGGAAGGAAAGGAATGAGATTGGATGGTTCTTGGTACCAAAACAAGTGAGCTGGCCTTATTCTCCTATGGTGTGGGGAGAGAAGAAAGCTGGTGCTCTGAAGGCCTCACAGCAGACTCTCTGAGTTGGATTTGGCAGACAAGTGAAAGAGTGAGGCTGCTCAGACAACTGCTGCTTGAACGTCTGTTCCTTGTCTCCTTCAGAAAGGGGAGCAGGGTGAACCAGAAAGTAACGCCTGACAGGGCGGATTAGCTTGCAGGTAGCCTGTTAAACCACATTGTAGCAAAAGAAACCCAAGAAAAGGCCAGGATCTCCAGTATCTTATTGCAGGTTTAACCCCTACCTGCTATGAAAGAGCAAGATACAGTCCGACTGGGTTATTTACACGTGGTGTCAGAGTAGTGACCCTAGTTAATTCATTTCCAAGTGATGTCTG